CATTATTACAAATAACTTCATTTCTGGACATTTGTGGTTTGATTTCTTTGTATGTATGGATCACTTGGGTTGTTACCAACATCTGGTGAAAATGTCATGTCATTAGCACCTCTAGTAATATATTTACTGAGAAAAATGGTGACGTGTTCAATACTTATTTACCCGCTGTAAGTGCTGAGCTATAGATGTGATGTTGTTCATGAACGTCTCCTTTCAAAAAATAAAAGGAACTGAGCTGTAAAAGGCTGCTCATTTTATTTTTGTTTTTATTTTTTACTCCTTGCACTATTTAGTTTTTTATCCTTAACCATAGAGACAATCACTCCTCCATTTTTTTCACAAAAAACAGGCAGCATCTGCTTCGAATGTTAACCCATTAAATGAACGTTATTAGCAGTTATCATCCCCATAGGACGGCTTCAGACTGTCTCTACAGCAGGAGGTTTCATATCTTTTTTGCTTTCGGCCCACGAAATAACAGCTGCAGAAACTCACGACCCCAGATATTACTTGTTTAAGTTTGCAAACTTTGCTGATACTTCTGTTAAATATGGGAATAATAACTATAAACAAACCTAATAAATACAGTATAATACTAAGTTTATTCATTTGATTATTATATAAAAATGCAATAATCATGGTGAAAATAATTGATTAACAATTTAGATTACATTAGATTAGATTAGATAAAACTTTATTGATCCCTGTTGAGAGGGTTCCGTCAGCGAAATTACATTTCCAGCAGCATCAGTACAATATAGATTAAAATAAGGGAAGTAATGTACGAGTCAAATGGAGATGTTACACATTTTACATCATCATAAAAACAAGTCAAGACAAAAATCAAAGAGAAAGTAAAGGTAAACACACATTATACTAGTTATTACGCTGTAGACTAGTTACAACCCTTTATTGTGACCCCCGCATGCGAAGCGTAAGCGGGAGTCATATTGTTTCATACACTCTGTGAAACAAATGCTTCATCACAATCTGGATTCTCTCCAAGAGTCATTATGTTCCATTACATTTTTGGGGCGACATTAGCAGAGTAATTAGGGGAGTCGTTCTGTAACTGGAGGGTTGCTGGTTCAATACCCCATTCCCACTGTCTCAGTCATTGTGTCCTTGGGCAAGACACTTCACCCACCTCCCTTACTAATGGTGGCGCTGGTGCATGGCAGCCTTGCCCCCACGGGCGCAGATAGGATTTTTGAACTGGGGGGGACCAAGTTTTCAGCAAATGATTTCCATCTAAGTAATTTTTAGTAATTTGATTAGTTACTTTCATAAWAGCTTTTGAGTGAACGGTTTGCAATAAAATGGCATTACAGAATTATTTGAAATTAAAGAAGAAAAATGAACATTGTTAAACACCTTCCAAG